TGTAGTCAGTCTGATTCCTGTGTGTTCCATCTGGTGAAGTCCACGTGTACAGCCTCCATTTGTGTTGTTGAAAAAAGGTGTTTGCTATGAACAAGTCATTGGTCTTGCAAAATTCTACCATACGAGTTCCAGCATTGTTAGGTAGCTTCTTAAAAAAGAGTTCATGGAAAGTAAGTTTCTTATGACCTTACATGTCTGAAAATGACTTCTTTCTACCTTCACAATTAATTGATAGGTTGGCCAGGTATAAAATTTTAGGTTACAAATCATTTTTACTTAGAATGTTAAAGGCATTGCTTCCTTGTCTCTATAATAAAGGTCCCATTGTTGCTTTATTTTTTCTTTACTGCCTAGATGTGACTTGTTTCTCTCTCTGGAAGCTTGTAAGATCTCTTTGTCTCTTGTACTCAGAAATTTCACAACAGAGTACTTAATTGTGTTGTGTAGGGAGCTCAGTGGACACTCTCAGTCTATAAACTCTTTTGCTTTAATTCTGGGACATTTTTTTTCAGTAATGGGTATATTCTCCATGTTTATTTTTTGCAATGTCTGTTATTTAGACTGGGTCTTTTCTTATCTTTTCTCTGTTACCTTTTTATGGATATGAAGTCTTCTCTTATCTCTCTGAGACTGTTAATAATTTTTTTTTAAATGTGTCTTCTTCCTACAGAAATCTCTATTTCTACAATTTGTTTTTTAAGTTTATTTTGCTGATCAACATTTCATGATAGGTGCTTTTCTCATATGTTTGATGATCCTTGGTTACTCATATTCAGCTAAACAACTGTGTAGATGTTCAGTTCTGGGGTTGTGGTAGGCTTGTTTGTTGTGGCTTTTAGTGTATTGTGGTTTGGCTGGACAGTTTTGTTGTGGAGCCATGAGTGTCAGTACCTTTAGGACTTTCGTTCTGGACTGATTGCTCAATCTTCTGCCTGGAAATGATAAGATGAGAACTCAGCAGAGTTCTCAGTCTTTTGTAAATTGTCATTTAATTGCTTTGTTATTAGTACTTAGCTCTGTCTTCAACTGTACCTGGTATCCTGAAGTGCAAAGACCATCTCCAGAAAATGTAACTCCAGACTTCTGCTGGGAGGAAGTAGGTGTGGCAGCCACGCAACTGAGCTGATACATGAAGGGGATTGGAACTCTGAAGGCTTCTCAAGCAGAGTTTTAGCCAACCTTCTGAGTTTAGCTTCACTTTCATACTCATTTTCATAAGTACTTTAGATTCCTGAATGTTTGGGATCTTCTCCAGTGTAACTAGACTGCTTCTTATCTTTTTCCCTTGTCAGTTCAGGTATCCACTTTCTTAGATCTCAATTAGTTAGCTCACATCTATCTATTCACCAGCTTCCAAAATTTTGTTGCTTTTATTTGCTCTTTCATTCTCTTTTTCTCTAAAGGTTTACACCTTTTTAAAAATCATTTTGCTGTCCATTTTAAAAGGACTCAAGAGAAGAAGTGAAAAGCTGTCATCTTTCCTGAAAATTATGTATCTCCTTCTCTGACAAATATTTAATAGTATATATACACTAATCTATTCCGATATGGGAGATATGTTTATTTACCAATTCCATTTTTGCCATTTAATATCATCACTTCAGATTCTCTCACTTCCTGAATGTGAGCCATATTAACTTTACAGTCAAAAGAGTATTATTTACTTGACTGAAAAATGGAATGTTATTCCAGAGATTTCTCATCCCCCTGCCCAGGTAGTTTTTATATTAGAAGAAAGGAATATTGAACTCCACTCTTACTGTTCTGCTGATTAACTCTGTGAACTTGAGAAACTTAATCTTTCTGGGCCTCAGTTTCCTTACTTGTAAAATTGGGAATGTTATGTGTTTGTTAAGTTTAATGACATTACCCAACACTCAATATCTGTCTCATTGTAAATAACTTATTGAGTGTTTATTGAGTTGTTACCTCATAACACTATAACCAACTATTCTAACATTGGCACTATACTAAACATTTTTAAAAAATCAGTTATTTTAACTTAGGAATATTTAATAATTTTTATTTATTGGGTCTAAAATTTAGTTGAAATAAGTTATTTTTCTTTTTTAAAATTCAAAATATGTATTAAGCAGCATAAAACAACTTAATTAAAAAATTTTATCTTTTTGTTTTTTGGAAATTACTAATAATAATTGTGTAAGCATTATTTGGGTCAGCCCTGGGTGGCACCAACAGTTAAATATGCAACTACTAGCTGAAAGATTGGTGGTTCACACTCATATACAGGTACCTTGGAAGACAGACCTGGAGGTCTTCTTCCAAAAGGTCACAGCCTTGAAAACTATAGACAAGGTCTATTCCACATACCTGGCGTCACCATGAGTCAAAATGACAACTAACAATACCAACAAGCTTTAGTGAAGCTTATTGACATAATATCTTTTGGTATACTAACATATATGAACTTGTTTATATTTCTAACAACCCCTGATTTTAATATAATTCGTACTTATTTTTTATTCCTTTCTTCATCATCCCACAAAAAAACAGTTGCTTCAGATTAGTGCTCATGTTTCCTTACTTGCTCCATTGCAGTAAACTAAATGATTTACCTACCTCCTGTATCGTCTCACTATAGCCTATTCCTTATAACCTAAAGTTTCTAAAATGGAGGTCAAGTCATGCCACTATACTCCTTAAAATCCTTTGGTGACTTCCACTGGTCTTCATTGTGCCATTTAAGATTTTCACCATCTCTCATCTGCCTTTCTAAGTCATCATATGCTACTACCTCACCTATGCCCTGAGCTTTAACCAAATATCTAACTCCTCCAACTTCTAAAATCTATGAATACATGCCTAACTTCTACTGGAACCCCACTTCTCATGTTTGTTATGAAGTCAGAAGTCTTCTCCCCAGCTTCTTGGCAAAGCCAACTGTGACTTCTCTATGGCAGTATTTTTCGGTTGTGTTATAATAGCTTATTAAGTTACCTTAACCCTCAGTAGACTGTGAGCAGTTTGAAGGTAATAACTTTTACTGTTGTCTTTTTTTTTTTTTTTTTACCATGAATGGCTAATATTCCATAAAAGTTTATTGATTGGGGTGATTGTTTTTGGTAATTTTTTTGTTTGTTTAGAAAAAAAATACTGTCATAATTTTATATATGTAAAATTGGGCAGATTCCAACTCAAATATTGAATATTTTATAGCTTTCAGTTTGGAAACCTGCAGAATTATGATTGCCATGTTGGATGTATCCTTGAATAAAAATAGAAAATACTATAGAGTACTTTCTTTCTTAATATTAAGCCAGTTGTTACTTATAAATGACCAGAGTAAGATACTTTGTAAGATCCTGCTTGAATTTCATATTTTTAAATTGAGATCTATTTATGTAATTAATTAGGCTAATTCTACAGAAACATGCTAATTTTTAATCAATGATTTAGAGTTTTGGGTCAGGTTAATTCTCTTTGGCATCAAAATTTATTTTTGTTAATAAACTACCAGAGGGATTACACAGGGAAAATGGGATTTAATGAATTCAAAGAACTTTGGGCAGCTCTTAATGCCTGGAAACAAAACTTCATGACTATTGATCAAGACCAAAGTGGCACAGTAGAGCATCATGAACTGAGTCAAGCCATTGCAGCTATGGGTAAGAATATTAAAATTCTTTAAAATTGATCTAACTTAATTTTCTCCTTTGATAAGATGAATATTAATTACTTTAGTTTGTTAAATAATAAAGGAATATATTATTTTACCAACTTTGCCTAGTTTGATTTCAAGATTGTAGATAAATTTTGACTAAAGATCTATAACAAAACTATTTTCACTGTGATTTTTTTCAAAAGATGGTATTCCATACATGCTGGTTGATAAAATAATTTCTGAATTCTCTCTGTTGGTTATATTTAAATTTATACTGAAGCATTAAGACCTAGGAAATATCCTAGATATTTCTTTTCTTTAGCTTTGACTTTATGATAGAGCTAGAATTGTGATAGTTATGAACCACTTGACAGTGTTAATAATGAAGTTTTTAAAATCAGTTTCTGTTTGAATGTGTTTTGTTTCTAATAGGCATTTTTTATGGAATGGATTTTAAAAGTTAATTTATTTTTAGTGTTAGAAGAGAATACAGTTTGGAATGTTGTTATGCTAGTTAGTTTTAGAAGTTTTAATTGACCAATCTCTTGTTTTTAGGTTATAGGTTAAGTCCCCAGACATTAAGTGCTATTGTTAAACGTTATAGCAAGAATGGCAGAATCTTCTTTGACGATTATGTTGCTTGCTGTGTGAAGCTTCGAGCATTGACAGGTATTTGCCATTTTAAAATGGGTACAGTATTTTGTAGTTGTCTTTCTTGAACAGGCTTTCATTTTCTTCGGTATGTTTATAATTTGTTGTTGTTGTTAAGTGCCGTCGAGTCATTTCCGACCCATAGCGACCCCATCACAGCAGAACGAAACACTGCCCGATCCCGCGCCAGCCCCACAATCCCTGCTATACATGAGCCCATCATCGCAGCCACCGTATCAATCCATCTCCTTGAAGGCCTCCCCCTCTTTCGTCG